CCCCAGTTCTCAGGGGTCTGGGTTCTGCAGCACCTCCCTGCCAGCCAAGGGAGACGGGCAGCCACAGTTGGGAAGACACTGAGACGGGAAGTCAGAGTATTGTAATTAAACAGGACCAGAAAATGTATGAAGAAAATCAGCCTGGATACAACCATATTACAACACCAGCCCTGCCCGAGCCCCTGGCCAAGGCGCCCACGGAGCCGACCCCTGGGTCCAGACAGACCACCTGGCCTGCGTCTTCCGCTCTCTGCATGCTCGCTTCCCCCACTGTGTGTGTGTGTGTGTTTGTGTGTGTGTGTGTGCACGCACGCATGCGTGCACGCGCGTATATGCATGTATGTTGTGTGTGTGGTGTAAATGTGTGTATATGCTGTGTGCACATGGGTGTGATGTGCACGTGTGCGTGCTCCTGGGAGAGCTGTCCCCTCACGCCCTCACGCCAGTCTCCCTGGTTCCTCAGGGGCCTCCCCAGCCAGGACTCAGGCGAAAGGAGGGACGTGAGTGAACTTCTCCCATCTCTGCTTCTCCCAGCTATTCAATCAGCACTCAGGCCCTCTAGCGGCTCCTGAGAAAGGGTCCCCAGCTCCCCTTCCTCACGCAAGACCCCCTGAATTGGGAAGGATGCGTTTCTATGGCATGTCCACGAACCGGCAGGGAGGCAGTGCTCAGGAGGACGGTGTGTCTGGGCACCGCAGGGTCAGAGCCTCCCCGGGTAGCTGGACCATCTGGTCAGCACCTGGACTTGGGAGCTCTCTTGCTGAGGGGACAGGAGAGGGAGGAGTGGGGATGGAGAAAATGACCTCAGAGGATGCACTTTCTCCATCCTCGGCATTAACACAGGAGACCAGTCCCGGGTGGGGAATTTAGAGACACAGGACTGGAGCCTTGTGAATGGTGCGCACGGAGACCGCTCACCAAGGCCAGGACAGTAGGCAGAGGTGGAGGCAATGCAGAGGGGCCGAGGACAGGGCTCCTGGGACGTGTGTCCTGGCCTGGCAGTGCCCGTCCTGGGGAAAGGAGCAGGCTTTCCTGGGTGCTCAGCTGACTCTGCGCGGGTCCAAGGCTGTGCTCTCCAGTGGTTTGAGGACGCCAACAAAAAACCCAGAACAGGGATGACAAGGCCCATCCGCGTAAAGGGTCCAAAGCCCCCTATACTTGGAATAAACTCCGGTAACCCCAGCCCAGGCAAGGTCTGGGACCCAGCGTTGTAGGCAGGGGCGGGGAAAGGATGTGGGCGCCGAGGGCCTACGGGCCATACAGCCCCAGTCCACAAACTTCACGCTGGCCGGCCCGTCCCCTCGCGAGGTGCCCAGGCCGCGGGCGCGCCGGGCCGTCTCTGTCGCCATCCAGAGGCGCGGTTCCAGCGCTTCGTCCACTCGGCCGCCGCCGGCCTCCCCCGCCAGCACCGGGG